AAAAAAAAAAAAAAAAAAAAAAAAAAAAAAGAAAGTTTTCTTACGACTTGGAACTATAGCCATTGCAAGTCCACAAATAATCTCGAGCGATCCGACGACTCGTCTGTACCATTTACTTGGTACTTTGAAATCCAGCGTACCAGACAATGGAAACACCTTTGCATATTTCACATATTCTTTCCTCTGTAAACATAACGGCAGGATAAACTGGCTGGTGAATTCGTCTGGTGAACAGAGGACGATGGTAATTGTGATCGAGGCAGAGTCGAACGAGTTGAAAAGAGAACGAGGCGTTCAAGTAAAAGAAAATTGTCACAATTTCAGCCTGGTGGATATTATACGCTGGCACTCTTGAAGCAATATTTTTGGCGCGTCACCAAGCGTTTAGTTGATGGTTTACTATAACTTTGGACATTGGGTAACAACAACGGACGAAAATAATCTTCTAACGAGATTCATTGAGGCGAACGAATTAAATTTAATTTTCATTGCATTTCAAAGAAATTTCAACTATCTGAATCTTTGCGATACCAATCGATTAAATTTTTATTCTTTTCCTGAGAATATTGATCTCGGAGGTAAGATCTCGAGTAATCAAAATACAAAACGAACGTTAATTAATAATAATAATAGTCATTAGCAACTGTAATTGTCAATGAAATGTGAAATTCTCTCTCCCTTGCTCGCCGTTTCCAAATATTGTACACAATAGCCGTTATAAATTGTTATTTTTTCTTCCCCTTTCGTTTATATATTTATTTGTTCTTTCATCTCGTACGTTTCATTGCACTGTTTCGTTGAAATTTTTAGAAAATTAATAATTTTGGAAATAGAACGTTAAGAAGAATGAAAAGTTGTAAAAACAAGTAAAATAAAGGTGAAAAAGAAAGAAAGGGAGGGAAGGAAAGAAATATTCAGAGATGCACAATATACATAGAAACACACACACGTGTATGGCATAGAATTGACGTGTACTTCTCTTGTTTGACACACAAAAATTACGAAAATCAGACGGCTGGTTCGCGTATGCTTTAGACGTTTAAACAGAGAGGATGAGATTTTGACAAATTTTTGTGGAATAAAGGTAGAGGAGCTAACGTTGGGAAGAATAAAGAAGGGAGCAGAAAGAATGATTGATAAAGTTGACAGACTGTCATAACAACGTACATGTCGTTAAGACGCGGTGCGTGTAATGTACGAAGTCTAGACACACCAGGGAGGAAAAGGTAAAAATAAGAATTCAGTTTCACGCGGTATATAACGATAGAAAAAAAAACAACGGTTCGGAGACAAGACGAAAAAGGAGAAATGAACGGTACGCGAGGGGAAAAATTTCGATTGTGTATCAATTGAATATGAGAGTAGGGTGAATTTGTGTTACATAATTGTAAGAGCAAGTGCTCACCAAATCCTTGTGAAGATCCTTACTAATATGAGAAGTTAGCTTCATAGTACCGACGAAAACGAAGAATATTCCAAGAAGAACTGAGAGAGACTTTAGAACGATCGAGCCCATAATTCGTTGGCTGAACACCGTTAGCGACACGAGCGTGTTAGACGTACGGTGGAATCGATTCGGAATCTAGACTGGACGAATGACTCGTAGCCGCGAATTCGTTACGCGCGACTCGTGCAATCTCAGTAAACTGTCTTTTTCTGTTTTTCCTTCTACTTTTCTTTTTTCACCCTTTTACTTTTATTTTTCTTTTTATTTGTTTGTCTGCTTGTTTGCTCGTTCGCTCGTTTATTCCCTTCCCTATTTCTCTTTTAATTATACATAGTATCTACAGAGTATAGAGATATACTCAGTACAACAATTAGCGTTTCGAACAATTATTCGAATCGCACGTAGCGAGTCAATTGGATACTATGTTTGCAGACGAGCAATATAGCAATCTTGTGCATACTTGGTCTTTTCTTTCTCTTTCGGTTTGACTCGGTCTGTTCCGACTGCGACAGCGCATAACGTGTGCGATACTAGAACGCAGTGTGTCGCGTCGGTTCGTGTTTTGTCGCATCGCATCGCATCGCATCGCGTCGTGTCCCATCGCCGCGTCACCCGTGTTTTACAACTGAATTGCTACTGGTCTTTCTAGAGACACACGTTGTACAGTCGTCTCGTGAGCTGTATTGTAATTTTAACTGGTCGCATCTGGCGCCTCTATGCCTCTACAATATCCAATCTCTGTTCTTTCTTTGCCGACTACAATAATAATAATAATAATAATAATAATAGTAGTACAACGACGCGAATTGAAATAACGAAACGAAATGTTATGTTCCTTTGATAAAACTGACAAAGCACCGATTTAGCGATTTAACAATGTAAGAAAGCAGTTTTTTCATATATTTTTGTCTCTTTTTTATTGAGATAATTAAAATTTGTATTTTCCCTCTCGTAGACTCTTCAGTTTGCGTTGTAAAATTATAGGAATTAAATTGAAAAATCAAAAACAAAAGGTTTTTGATCGTTAATTTGATTGGAACTTGTTGATTGAAACCAAAAACGTTCATTTCAACGAGAAATTCTATACTTTTTATTACAATGTACGCCAATGGATCATAAAAGTATTGAACACCCACTTGGAAGCGACCTAAAAATTTGTTTTTTTCATATACATTGTATTGTTTATGCATTATTTACAAAAGTTTATGTACAATTTCCTGTTACAACAATGATGTGATGTTTTCTAAGTTTTAGGTATCGATGAATTCTTTCCGAAGAATATGTTTGTATCTTGAGATCAATCCACTTCCCAATGAATGTATTCAACTATTCAACACTTGTTATTATCATCGTGATAATGATAACGTGAACAATAATGATCATCATCGCCATTGAATACTAGTTGCCATTGAATGCTTGCCATTATCATTACATATTTGTAGTTTTGACGACTGATGAACTCGTGTTTGCCGTATCGGGCCCGTTTATTCTTCCAATATCCGCAGTGGATAAGTCGACGCCAGTATCGTGTTTGTTGTTTATAAGAACAGTCATGTTTGCATTGCTGTTTGCCAAGCAGACAGGTTTCTTGCGACGCGCGAATACAACAATCTTTCCGTAAACGTTCATTGAATCTTTTGCGCTGCTATTATTACTATGATTTATACTTTTCTCCAATGGTTTTTTAAATACCCTTAATTCTATCTCTTCTGTTTTTCCTATATATTTATCACACTCTTTTCCTCGCGTTACTTCCATCGCAATGCTTGCATTCTCGTTCTCTTGTGTCGACGGCGTGTTCGTCACATCCTCGGGACTATTTTGATTAATTTCATCTTCATAGCAATCGTCGGTATTATGGCAATTGTTCCTAATATCAAGATCACCGGCAGCATTCGCGCTGGTATCGTTATGCTTTTTTTGTTGCGATTCCGTTTTCCTCACCGTTTCGAGAACATTCGATTCGGTTTTTAATTGAACGTTAACTGAATGATCAACGTTCGTTAATTCCGAGTTGGAATTTAATCCAACGTGTTCGTTTTCTTGCAAAAGCGTTGTCCGTAACTCTGACTGCGTATAATTATCTTTGACAGAGTTGTTTTCGCTTGATGCGACATTGGCGACATTGGTGACGCTCTTATCTGTTTGACGATTTTCGACGAACGACATAGCGTTATCCGACGAGGCATTTGGAGCGTTTGCATTCCCTTGCATCTCCTTTTCTACCGTGCCTGGCTGTAAATCATTAGAAGCGTTATTCGACGTTATTCCTGACATGTTCCCAGGAGCTTTATCACACGTGGAAACAGAACTGCGAATGAATTTTTCAATGTTCTCAATGTTCTCGACACTTTCGATGTTTTTAGAAATTGTTTCGCCTGGAGAACACGCGATGTTGGTATCTAAGATTGGAACCGTTCGTAGAACATCGAGAGCTTTCTCCGTTTCATTGCTCACGGTACTCTTTACCGATGTGTTATTCACTGCGAAAGAGGGATCTCCTGGCGGGAGATTCGCATCGGTATCTTGCTGATCCTTTGACCTTTTGTAATTATTGCATGTATCTTTCGACGAATTTTTATTTCGGCTATCTGAAATTTCATCGTCTTCCAAATTTATCGATGAATTCTTTGATTCTTCTTCGTTACCAATTTCCAGAGCATTTGCTGTTTGTGTAGTTCCATCGATTTCTTTCTTCTTTGAAACCTGAGAATATTTTGGATGCTCGATTAAATTTTCTGCATCAGAGTTGCGACGTGAACGCGAACATTCGCTATATTCATCTTGTTTATCTTTGTCGTGTCGTTTAATCGATTCATCAATATTCCGCATTTTTCGTGGTTCATGCTCGTTGTATCGACATTGAGCCTTTTTTACCTCGTCAAACCTCTGATCCGTTGAAATTCGATCAATGGTAGAATGCTTCGTTTGCCTGTCGTTGTACGTTGTATCTTTTTTGGGGATTTTCGATTTATTTGCCGTGCCACTATTCCGAAGATTACATCGTTCCTCAAACTTTCCATCGTGATCACTGTGCTTATTATTATATTGATTTCTATGGTATTTTTCTTCTCGATACGACTTTGTGTACGATGTTGATTTCTCACGCGATCGATGATCATCCGTGCGATGATATTCTTTTTGTTTATCTCTACTACTACGATATTTACTGTGACTGCGTCGACAATTATCTCTCTCAAAAGCCTCGACACAACGATAACTCGTGTCTTTTTTGTCTGAATTATAAATATACAATGTTGAATTTTGAGTAGACTTACGTCGTTTCAAAGAATGATCATCATTAATGTCTCTTTTGTCGCTTTTGTTCTTCGTATCTCTCCTTTCATCTGCTTTATTTGCGTCATGAATTGAGTATCTATGTTTTAGTTCCATGCTCGAGGTATGGACGTATTCTGAATATTTTTTGTTGTGGCCTTTTTCATTAGAATAATCAGAGAATCCAAAGTCGTTGTATCGAGGGAATGCTGACTTCTCATTAGATTCAGAGACTACGTTATTATCCGTTTCTTTCTTTGTTACGTCAAAGCAATGTTTTTCTCCACTAGGTTTCATTCGTTTTACGTGAATGTGCCTATTCTCTTCTTCATTTGCTCTTTTTCCTGTATAGGTGAATGTTGATTTTCTTTGAAATGTAGAACTCATCTCATTTTTATTGTTCAACTGAACATCTTTTGTTGTACTTCCTGAACCTGCTAATAGATTTTCGCTTCCTTTGTATTGTGCAATCACAGAAGATTGGATTTCCTTTGTATTATCAAAGTTAGTGTCGCACGAAAAACCATTTTCTTTGTCACTTTCAACTGTATATCCTGCATTGTTTTTATCATCATTATCACTGTTATTCAACTTGTTTGATCTATCTTTTTTTTCCAAATTCTGTTCGTCCATCATTCTTTTAAGTAATCGTTCGCCAAAAACGGTAATTGGAACTAAGGTGGATTTGTTTTGTTGATCCTTGCTCTGATTGGACAAACTATTTGAGTTCGACATTTGAGTACTCTTTTCATTAACAGAAAAGCAAATGTCAATTGATTTTTGATGTGTATTTGTAACAGTCGTAGAAAGGGTGGATTTACGTATAACATAATTGTTAGAGTATGAACTCCTTCTGAATGTTACATCGTCTAATCTGCAATAATTGTTTCGTCATATAAAACATATTTTTTAAACAACAGGAAATTATCAATTGGATCCACTTACCTTTTCCTTAAATCGTCAATCATTTTATCCTTGCGTGTAATTTCTGCTTTTGCAGTTTTTAATAATGAAAATAAATTAATTTCTAAATTTTTATTCACCTTTTCAGAATTCTCTAATTTTGCCGTAAGTTCTGCAATCTGCTTTTTCAATTCTAATTGTTTCTCCGCGGTATTTTCTTCGTTCTCTGATACAAACTAAAATAGCACAATACAGAAAATTTATACATACAATTTACAGTCGTATTTTATACGGATGTGAAAATCATAACATAACCTAACTATAAAACCCAATCTTAATGCTTACGTTTTTACTAAACTCTGGTCCAAAATCTGGCAAATCTGCATAAATATCAATGTCACTCTCCATGCTTTTCATTAATTCCTATAATAAAACTTTTAATTGAAACTGCATATTCGACTATTGATATAATTTCCCCATTTTTGTCACAAACGTGGATCTTACACACAATGTAGACATTTACTATAGTGTCACGAACGTGGATCTTACACACAATGTAGACTCTTACTATAGTGTAGGGAAAGATACGTCTGTGATACCATTATCTTTTTATATTTGTTAATCACTGTGAAATATGCCAAATGTCGATGTCAGTGAACGACGAATGATGAACAATGAACAACAAACAGTAAACAGTAAAAGTGAATAGTGAACAGTGAACAATGGACATAAGTTATAACCTTGTAAAATATGTTTTAAATATTCTTGAGAGATTGATATCTCTCTTACTCTTGCATCTTTTCTTTGTATCTTCTACATTGAATTTTATTTGAAAAAAGAGATTACAACTTACGTGCAAAATATTAATTAGTTATGTGTAAAATATTATCACTGTTCGTATTTCGAAGAGACACGATAAGACGACTTGGTAATTATTGTATATCTTGTACTCTATTGGTAATTTACGATTGCAATTGAATTGCTGGTAATTTACGATTGCTTTTGTAAACGAAAGTTTAAGTGCAGGTTCAACAGACTTTTTTTTATCTTTTCTTTTCCTAGCTTTCATCAATGAAACGAATGTTAAATCCATTCTTCAAATTTTTTATATGTATTTTTATGTATGTACGTACGCATGTGCATCTATTATCTATGGTCTTTTACGCATAAAAGATCACGTCATATCTAAAAGTGTCTGTTTATGCTTCAGTTAGTTTTGTTGTTAAATCAACATTTTGAGATTTGTATCAGTCGTGTATGTACATATACATACTCGTACAAATGACACGCATGTGTAACATTAGAGGTTTAAATATATGACACGTTTGTCAAATGAGATGTATAGGTCACGACCAAGATTAGCAAAATCGTATTAGCCGTAACGTGACGGAACAAAGAATGTGAAAAACGTTCTAAGAGCCATAAATAATGAAATATAAAAGAAGAAACTTATTTCTATCTCGTTTTATAGAGAAAAAGGAGACTATATAGAGCGAGAAGGTATGTTTTCAAAAATATTTTTCTTCGTCTTTTTTGTGTGGATTTTTATTTTCTTTATATTTTTATCTTTGATTAAACCTCTCGCTAAACTTGTTTAAATTACCGTTGAACTTGAATATGCAATGTTAATATATTTATACATGTATTATAATATATGTTTGTTAAATGATGTAAGAATGTAGGCTGATATATGAAAACACTCATAAAAAATTCCTTGTATTATAGTACAGGTATATTGCAAATTATCACTACAGATAGATTGATCATTTGAAAATTTAAATAAATTACTAAAAACAGTAGTTTTATGACTTTGTGCAAAGATTGCACTAAAATTCGCGGTTAAAAACACGATTAGTAATGCAATTGAAATTGTTGTAGAGTATAAGTCCATTTGATAATAATACGACAACGCCAATAATAATTTGAAACAATAAATAGAAATTAAAGAATAGACGAAGGACGAAGTAGAAGGAATCTTCATATATGATTGGTATATAAGAAGCATAGCTGTAGCTTTTAGAGACTCTTTTTAAAAACTTAAAAAAAAAAAAATTTTTTTTATTAACTTTTCTCAAATTTATCTTTTCGACGCAAGATTTGGACAGACTTCTTAAACGTTGACGATTGCTTCAATATAAAGAAGATTCGAGCTGGTGATGATTACAACATGATGTGTGTGTACCCTACATAGTCGTATTTACCTAGTTACTGTACATACGATCTTGTTTTTTGAATGTTCTTCATATTATTTACTACATTATAATTCTTTTTTTTTTTTGCCTTTTATTATAATATACAAGTGATTACAAATGTTCATGCACGCGCTCAAGTACACGTACATACGTAAATAGCAAAACATTTCGAAAATTTGCGAGATAGAGGGATAATATTGTAAGATTTTCGACGGAAACTCGAAGTATAAATGCGTATACACGCATTCATTTGGCATATTCATGTGAACGAAAGAAGCAGGAAACGGTTAGTTGAGAGTAATAAACAGATCATTTAAGTATTCATTTTCAACAAAGCTTTGGCAATTTGATGGCGTAGCGTAGTTTCGTACGTTACTATCTACTATGCAAATAAAACTTTGAACTTAAAAAATTAAAATTTTACGTACTTGTTTGCGGTTACATGTATTTATGGTTACGAATGTTTGTTTGTTTCGAGTGCTAGTATCATTCGCTGTTAATTTTTTACATGATTCCTGGGGGGGAAACTTGTTCGAATTGAAATTATCAGAAATTATTCTCATTGTTCCTTTCCCATTTCTAGTCGGTTTGGTGTCTTGTCATGCAACACTTAATGGTATTACCGACGAAGCCGTACAATGAAAATTAGATTCATTTCATTAGCAAGTTGATACACAAGTAAAATGTTTTACATGATTCGAAAAGTGAGTTTATAATAAGTATTCAATACAATTTATATTACGACACGTTGAATATGCAAACAAACAAAAAAAATAAATAAATAAATTTATCGCGGCAAATATTTTTCCTCGCGAATCGATAATTTTGATGTTTATTTATATAATGTTACTTTAAATACGAAAGAAATAAGAATGAAGTGGGAGAAATTTGAACTAAACGCTACAGAACGGAGGAAAACAAAGTAGAATAGAACAGCATAGAATAAAATGGAATAGAACGGAATGGGACGTGGTGGGACAGAATGAGACGAAACGAAACAAAACGGAACAGAACGGAACAGAACGGAACGGAACGGAACGGAACGGAATGGAATGGAACGGAATAAAATGGGATGGAATGGAATGGAACGAAGTGGTATGAATCGGACCAGATCGGAGCAAGCTGTATCATGGGATAATAGTGAATAGTATGGAGTAGATAGGTGGGATAGTACAGGTAGAAGTGAATTCGAGAAGAGATAGGTAGAGAAGGATGCAAGTATAAGTAAGTACATAGATTGCCGATGATGGAAACGGCATAGCGAGAGAGGAGGTACATATATATATATATATGTATAATGTTTCTCCCCCCTCTTAAGGCACTCTTGAGGCCCAAGCTTTCCAAGTCTACTTGTGTCGGTCAGTTCGTTAGTAATTACGCGACAAGAGATAAGTCGGGGGGTAGGCGTGCAACACTTGGTGTTGCGTGAAATAAAAAAAAAAAGGAAAACTTTGGGTGTGGCGTTTGTTTTTACAGTGGAAAATCATTGACAATTTACCTTGCTATACTGTTAATTAGTTGTTACGATAGAAAGGAACGTGGGACTTGCAACTTGGACAGTACCTGTGTATATCTCGAAAGTGTTTTTCCCGCTAACGGGTTGGACTGTACGAGGATTAAATTCGTCGTTGAACTGCTTACAATCGAAAAAACATTGTTCGAAACGTAGAAAAATGTTTGATGTTCGGCAGATTTTTATAAACAGATTTCCACAGCATCGATTACATTCGTTTACAGCCGTAATTTAGTAATAGTTTGTACATGTGCTGAGCAACAGTTGTAAGGAATGATCGTCATTCCTATAGATTTCGAAAAAAATTCGGATTCGACGGAAATATTCGTTGGAATATTCCCCAAGTTTAAAACTGTAAAGTGGGAAAAATCTTCGTTTTCACTCTTCCTCGAAACGTTCAATTTTATTTGAATTGCCGTTTGCATTTCGTTCGACTGTATCGGAAGAATGACAGTTTCAGAGGAGTAAGTACGATGACACGTTGGTTTGCTGCCTTTCTCCACTTTTTGTCTTTCACCGTATTTCACCGTGTTTGTGTTTGTTATTGTTATCGAATTATTCTCTCGGATATTTTTCGATTATTTACGGTTCTTCTACCAATAATAGCCTGTTATTGATAAAGAAATTTGGCCAATCTCTGGCCTTAAATTTTATATTATTGTAAAGTGCGTTGTTACGTGCAAAAGTAAAATAACTGATGAAACGGAGAAAACACCTGTCTCTGAAACGTGCAGTGTTTGTTGTCGTAAGTGCTTTTATATCTGTACGAAGCAAAAAAAGAAGAAAAAAGCAAAGAACAAGCGAAGACGTTGACGAAATACAAACAGCTTTGCACGTTATTCGTCTTCATATTTTTCACGTTATTTGAAAAATTACGTTGTTACGAGACTGCACGTACCAACGTATGTACGTATGTACATATATATACATACATACATACGTACGTGTACGTGTACGTGCGTAGAGGGGAGGAGAACGCATAATGAAATCATAACGCGGGTCTAGGCGTGTTCTCTCGTACAAAAAGTTTTTATGGCAGCGGAGCGATTGAAAGTGAGTAGGTGATACGAAGAAAAGTAGCAAAGTCGAACAACAACGAGAATACGTAGAGTGCAACGTGTGCTCGAGGAGAGTACTCGAGCGTGTTCGCGGATTACTCGAGCGCGTTTTTAGGGTTTTAAGATTGAATACACGCTCGGTCAAAAGAGATAGGAATGCGTGGTATGCGACTTGTTCGTTGGACGTGTTCGTTCGCTCCGAGTTGAACCGATTTTATTCGAACACTGGCGAGAATGGCCGAGTCTAGTCGATCTCAACCGATTCGGACCGACTCTTTTCCTGCCGATTGTGACAAAACTTGTTTCACTCTGTTGCTCTATTGCAATTTCTCGGATGTACCGCGGGACTGATTCTATTTGATCTTCGAGGCTTATGTATGTTTTTTCAAAAGTTGTTCCCCGTTGTACGTGTTAGGCACTCTCGAAAAAAGAAACAGCGCCTTACGTAGAAAATATCTCTTCTATTCGGTAAGCCTTGCTTCCTTCAAGGAGGCAAAAAAAGAAAAAAAAAGAAAAAAAAAGTTTCATACGTACTACGTTAGCTCCTGTGATTTAATGTGTACGAATACGTACAAACTTGACACGTACGAACACGTCAAGGGTAAAACCGTCAATTTGAAAGTATGCTCGTCGTATACGTCTTTCTGTTTTTCTTTTTTTTTTCTTTCTTTTTATAATATTTCGACTGGTACTTTGATTTGATCGAACAGCCGCCGTCGACTACTTGGAACGTACACCGCGATGCAATGGGAACACGTTAACGGTGTAACGGTGTAATCTTTTTATCTACAGGCGGTAGAAATATCATCTCGTTCGTTGTCTCGTAGACTTGATCGATCGACATTCGATCAAATGGCAATTATTCGAAAAGTCGATTCGAATAGTGATGAATTTCTCTCTCTCTCTCTCTCTCGAGAGAGAGAGAGAGAGAGAGAGAGAATGATCGTCGGAAAGAAGTTAATTGGCGCGTAACAAAGATACAATTGGAACGTTTGGGTGTCCCTCTGTTGCGTTTAAAATGGTATCGTAAAATATACGCGACACGATGAAAGACAAGCAAGACAGTATGAGAGGAAAGACGAGAGGAACTCGATGAAATGGGAAATACATTAATGTTCATTGTTGCTTGCTTATTTGGTTGCTTTATTGTAGAATGGCCACGGAACTGGCAAACAAGAAGGCCGAGCGCGAGGCTCTGCGCGGTGTTATTCAGCAATGGAACGCCAACAGGTTGGATCTGTTTGAACTATCGGAACCAAACGAGGTGAATTATCGCATCGACTACGTTCGATTTCTTTCGATCTCTTTCGGCTGAGGGATCAAATTTTATCTATCAGCTTGCTCACCAATAGCGAATGTACGCAATGTATTGTATTTTTCAGGATTTAGAGTTCCACGGTGTGATGAGATTTTATTTTCAAGACAGTGGTCAGAAGGTTGCGACAAAATGTATTAGAGTAGCGTCGGATGCGACGAGTCAAGCGGTCATTGAAACGCTTATTGAAAAATTCCGTCCAGATATGCGAATGCTTTCGGTTCCAGAATACGCACTTTACGAAATTCACGAAAATGGTGGTAAGTCAATAGTAGGATTGTCAAGTGTGCGTTGTAATTGCGTTGCAATTAAGACGTCAGAATTGACGTTTATCCTTCGGTTTCTTTTTCTCCTTCTTCTGTTCAATTATTTACAGAAGAACGTAAGCTTGGGCTCGAGGAGAAACCACTGTTGGTGCAATTAAACTGGCACATCGACGACCGCGAGGGACGCTTTCTGCTGAGAAGAATCGATGACAAGACCAACGCTCAGGGCGTTGGTTTCTCTTCTTCGGATGGCTCTAGCTTTCGTAGAAAGTTGAGTAAACGCGAGAAGAAACAGATGAAAAAACAGGAGAAGCTGAGTCGTTTAAAGAGTTTGGAACAAGATGAGAATGCTATACCCGTTGATCAAAATGGAGTAGCCGAGAAACTTTACACGGGTGAGCAAATAACGAATTTCTTGTTATTGATAACCAGCGAGTATATACGCGTGTTATGTAATTCATATAATAGTATAAACAATAGTATAACAATAATTATACCTACGTATATATTTAGATTACTTGGTCTGTACAATGAACTAACAGCGTTCCTGTGTACAGATTGTGTGTATTGGTAAAACGCGATAATGTTCTTGTTTCAGAGTTACCTGAAACAAGTTTTACCAGAAGTATTTCAAATCCAGAAGCTGTGATGAGAAGGCGACGTCAACAAAAATTGGAGAGAAAATTGCAACAATTTCGCAGCAAAGATGGGGGTCCTGATACTGGTGGAACATTGAAGATTTACGGCGAGGCGTTGTGCAAAGACGTACCATATAAAACTTTACTTTTAAGCGTTCGAGACTCGGCAGTTCAAGTCGTGCGAGAAATGCTTACCAAGTATGGTTTAGAGAAGGTGGATCCACAACAGTATTGTCTCGTACAAGTGAGCTACATTTTTTTTTTTTATTTTTCGCTTTTCAATGTGTGCTACGTATAATATCGAATAATTTATAAACATATATATACGTATATATTTCTTTTTTCCTAAATGGTTCATTTTGCAATTGAACGTTGCAGGTAAATAGTGAGAATAACATGAATGGAGGAACACAGCAAGAATATATACTGGACGATGACGAGTGTCCTTTAGCCATTCTTATGAATCACCCTTCTGCTCGCGGTGAGTGTCAGCGTGGTAATTCCTCTAGTAGAAATAATTCAATGTAATTGTCAATTTCAATCGTAAATAAGAATAAATTTTACTTGTAATCGAGTCGAAGGGTCGTATATACGGGTACGAATAGTATAGTACGAATAGCATAGTAAACAGAAATCAAATTGAGAGATATGGAAAGACTTAGGAGGATGAACAAATTTTAAGAATTATTCATCAAAGTTGTACAACAACGATACAACAGCGTAGTTACGCTCGTAGAGACTAGTTAATTCATATCGTCCTATCCCGTGCAATGTCGTGCCATGCCACACGTCATGCCACAAGTCTGGCGTAGTGCAGTATAATGTACATGTATGTACTATATCGATAGTCACGTGCGCGTGCTCGCTGAGCCCGAAGAACCACCCACCAACCCTTATATACCCTCTGACTGTGATACTTGAAATCAGTCGCGCAATATTGTGGCGCAATTTAACGTTACCATGTACCACCAGCAATCGTGATTTAGACTTTTATTTTTACGCAAGTAAATTTTTGTACAAGAAAAGGATTTTTTTATCCTTCTCAGTTTACGCGAATAACGTTTAAAGTTCCATATAATTGCCAGAATAGGATAATAAATTTCTCTAAATTTCTCGGTACACAGTACGAACAGTGAACAAGTATTACGAGTTAATGTATGGTGTAACGCGCCGAAGGATACAGAGCGAGTCAGGTGTTGAATAATACTGTAGTACCATTCCAACATGAGTTGACGACAAAACAATCTGTGCGTCAATTTTCTTGACAATGTAAAACTGAAAACTATTTAGCTTCTCTTAAGTATAAGACACAAAGTATGAAACATAGGAGACCAAAATTGAAGTGATCGATCGAAGAAGGGACCACGGACGCGTGCGCGCACGCATACATACATTCAGAGATATATTCAGGGACCACGTTAAAGAAATCGACAAATTTCGTACAAGATGATGGATTGGGGAATTAGACGTAAGAATATTTAACATTATTCTTTAATCATTTAACAACATTTAGAGATATTCACGGATATTCAGGGACATTCAGGTATAGAAGTAGTTTCTACGTGTGATACGCAAATAAAGTTTTACATCAATAACTCTTCGTACATGTACATACCGATCAATTACAACAGAAATACATTCGAAATGACCGAAATGTTTTTCCTCCAGTGGATTAATACGTGTTTCGAAGATGGAAAGTTGTTTCTTGTTGTGTAGGTAGAATCCTCCCGATAGAAACTCTATAACGCAGATCAAAGTTGACGAGAAATTTGGAGATGTAAATTTTAATCGACTATTCTTTAAACTATTATAACTGATTTATTGTACGCTGCATTGATTTTCGATTCAAATATATATATATATATATATATATATGTATGTGTGTGTCAAATATATATATATATATATGTATGTATGTATGTGTATATATATATATGTACATCGTTCGAAACAGCGAAACGAGAAAATAGATGTGCTTATGTCGGTGAACGTATGTCATGTATTGTGTATTGTTTGTAGGTCAGTTGGATACGTAAAGGGTAGAAAATGTGACACGATATAGCACATGCATCTATAATACAAGAATGATATTTCTAGCATCAGAATATACACAGAATGTACAGAGCGTTCCATCTAAATGTCTTCTCTGTTGCTTTTGGAGATATGGAAAAACTTTATCAACGAAAGTTATTCATTGCAGAGGAAGCCATATTACAGGTGGAGGGATTTCGGAACCATCTCTACTTTTTTTTTTTTTTAAATGGAACGCTATGTTTCTTCACTCACTGATCGATTTCTCTATTAAAAAAAAAAAAAAAAAAAAAAAAAAACACCTAGACGCGTTGAAAAATCATTAGTTTAAAAGATTTTCATAAACATTCCAGAAACAACGGAGATATTTATGATGGTGAAATTGCGCGAAAACAAAAACGGTAATAAAATATTTGTTTTGTGTTATTTACAGGTTCAATCATGTTCCACGTACGGAGACGACCTTCTGACTATGTGCCTCGGAAACGGAAGAAAAAACCTAGTGGCAAGTGGAACGAAGTGGATTACAGGTTTGTTGGAGTGACGAAATGATATACATACTGAGCTAGGGACAACAACTTTGATCGACAGTGAAAATTTAATAGAAATTACCTGTAAAGCAAATTTGAGAGAACTATCGGTGAAATCAATGAAAAGTAACGAGAAATAAACGAGAGATGGTCGTATTTTGTCTGGCAGATACGAAGACGAGAGATTGCCATTTTCGCTCGAGTTGAATCCTGATGGCAATGAAATTGCAAACGGGGCCGGTGTACGGCATCGATTGCAGCCAAATGCAGCAGAAATGGGCTCGGAGAGATCGATATCTATCCATCCGTCTAGTCCGAGCAAATCTACGTCTGTTCCTGCTGCTGCTGTCGCTACCGTTTGCCATACTCGAAGCCCGACCCATCCACCGGAATCAACGCACAATTACGAAACAACTTTCGATCTCGATGGAAACGTTGAGACTGCCAGTCTTACCAGCAGCAGGGATGGTAACAGGTAATGGACAGTGTTATTATATCTGTTCTCACCGAAAAGACACGTGAATAATTTTTCCAACTGATTGTCAAAAACTTGAATTTTCGGAACTCGCGAAACTCTGAAAACTCTCGGCAAACAAAGTGTCGATTCTACTTTGTAAGAGAAATTTTTATTGATCGCAGTTGAATAAAATACAAACAGAATCTTCTTTAAGATCCGAAAACTAACTTTCTGGATCTAATCTGTTTCTCTTTCTTTTTTTTCTTTTTTTTTTGTAGACCATACTGCCGGACTGGATACATATGTACTGAAAAGTCTTTCAGAATACGTCGTGGAGTAGTAATGCAATGAGACATTTTTTGTGATAATAATTTAGTATCTATCTTACATTATCAATTCAGAATTACGATCGATCGCGCGTCCACTTGTATTCTTGAAAAACAAAAAACGACCATCGAACGTTCGTCGAATATTTGAGAAACACATACATATATGACTCAAACATTCTTTATTCGTGCTGCAAGTGATTGTTTATTCATTGATTTTATACTTGTGCGTTATACTTGTCTGAGCTTCGAATTACGAAAAAAAGTACAAAGTTCCAGAATTTCAGAAACTTGAAACTTTTTTGGGTTTCAACGAGTTTCGAGTGTTTCCCTAATCTGTCCCTAGTTTATGTTGTATTAAATAAGTTTACAATAAAAACTTATTTAATACAAGATGAAATTGAATACATACACGGTATGTACGAATCAAGTGTCACACGGCTTGAAACATGAAATACAAATAAAATACGAATATATATATATATATATATCTTTTACAGTTAAACGCACGAGAAATGTCAATCGAAAAATTAAAGAAATAATCTCGATCGTGTCGTTGGTTGTGTGTCGATGGCGTGACACTGAATAATATTGAATTTCTCTGTTACCGTTTCGGACAGAACGCTGCAGAATGATCGACAACCACGTGGAATGGATCCAATCTTACCAGCTGTGTTGGAATTTCTCGAGGAAACGGAAGAAACTTTCTTTCACGCGGTGATTACCGATGTTGAACCGTCGGCACCGCAGTTCAAATTGGCACCAACGTATACGCTTTACTTGGCGGCAAGATATCGCGCAAGCACGCACTACAGACCAGAGTTACAGCCAACGGAGAGAGCTCACAGATTGACCGTGATGTTGGCAAACGTCGCTAGCATGATCCAACGAGTGATACAGGTAACTCGATAAGGTGATCTCGAGCTTCGAGATGATCTAATTTGAGATGAACTACGTATCGAGCAATGAAAACGAGTCCGATCAAGCTCTCCAAATTGTGGGAATGCACGTTTGCCGGTTGTTGGGAATGTTGTCTCTGTTGTCTCGTTCAAGGCGTGCGTAATGATTCTGCACTCTGTTATTGTCGTAGGAACGGTATATGGATACATCTTCGTTGGCGCTGTGGTTAGCAAACGGATCCGAGCTGCTACACATGTTGAAAAACGATCGGCACGTAGGTGCGTTTTCGACGAGGGCGCAGGATATCTTGACGGAAGCAGTTCATACGGCATTCGCGTCGTTGGTCAGGTGCATCTCCTTGGAACTAGCACCGGCAATGTCGCAATTCATGGCCGACGCGGACGAACCTGCGAAAGAAGCTGGAGTGCTCCAAATATTTTCCAGCACGATGGCTTTGCTCAGACGATGCAGAGTGAACGCTGCGCTCACCATACAGCTGTTCAGCCATCTGTTTCACACGATAAACGCGACCGCGTTTAACGCTTTGGTTTCGAATGCGAACTTGTGCGTCAGATGGTTCGGTCGTCGGTTAAAGGCAAGACTAAACGCCCTGGAAACTTGGGCTGAAAGGCAGGGCCTGGAGCTCGCGAGTCAGTGTCACTTGGCAACGATCATGCAAGCGACTCATCTTCTTCAAGCGCCAAAGTACAACGCGGAGGAGCTCGCTACCTTGAGCTCTACCTGCTTCAAGTTGAATTCTCTTCAGGTCAGAGCGTTACTGCAAAAGTATCAACCGGCTGCGGACGAGCCGAGACTTCCCGCGGAGTTGATCGAAAACGTAGTCAAAGTGAGTTGACTCTTGTTCTTAGATAACGATATCTAATCGTCGTGTATTTTGGCGCTGCGACGTGTCAAATGATGATACAGAATTTCCAGTATATTTGTAAGTAACGTGGTGTTGAATTTCAGGTAGCAGAAAGTGTGGCTGACACGCTCGCACGTGCCGATGGCAGAGAGATTCGACTCGAGGAGGAGCCTACGCTCGCATTGGCGCTCCTGCTTCCCGAGGATGGGTACAGTTGTGAAGTTATTCGCGGTGTACCTCCAGGTTTGGCAGAATTCTTAACGCCATTGCAGCGGGATGGTCTTTGCCGTATGGCACCGCAACCCACCAGCAGTGGATATTGGACCATATACATGATAGATCACAATAATGTAAATTGTTCATTTTTTTCTTCTTTGCTTTCTTCTCCCTTTTTTTCTTTCTCAATCTCCCTTTTTTTTTTTGCTGTTGACAAAAAACTAGCGATACTTATAACGACTGGATTCGAACAATGATTGATATTTTAATTTTTGTTTACAATTATGATATTTGACAGTTTCGCAGTCCAAGTGCAATGAGCAATAGATCTGGAGGTTATTCCTGTCATGCGGGACCGACTGGTGCTCAGCCGGAGATACATGTGATAAAACTACACAAGTCTACCAGTGGAATGGGCTTGAGCATCGTCGCGGCAAAGGTACGTATAACATGGTTATATTTACATATGTCGTAGTTATTTTTTAACATATTTACTAACAATAACTATCTTACGAGTACGTGAGATTTTCGTTCTCGCAAATGAAATATACACGTGTATGTGTACGTTTTGCAGGGCGCTGGTCAAGATAGGCTTGGAATATATATAAAAAGTGTAGTTGCCGGTGGTGCTGCGGATGCTGTAAGTAAATATTACGTCATATATACTTTTTTTCTTTTCACGTACAAAAAAAATCTTTTCTCTTCACTTACATTCTTTCGCTATTTTATTATTTCTGTTGTTAATTATATATATGTGTATATATATATATATATATATATATATATATATATATATATATATATATATATATATATATATATATAT